GCAATATTTTCGAAACCATATCCTTACATTCCTATCCTTTTGTTCATTACTGTTTTATAGAGCGAATGGAAGCTTTGTAAGGACACAGAATGAAAGATTTGTGCCTGTCAGGTAAGGAAACGAATGCTCTGCACATCATAGCAGGAGATAAACGAGAAAAGTTTGGATAATCAGAAGCTTAGATGAAATATCAAATTAAGTGATGATTAATTAGTTAACAAACAAACGATTATGTCGTCAAACTCCTAGTGTATCAATTTATGCATGATTCTCACTAAAACAACAAATCGTTCAAAAGTATCCTTGATGCCCTACACAGGTGTGTCCCTTCCATTTCAGAAAGTGGAAAATATAGTATGACCGAACAGTTAACAAATTTTGACAGATTGTTCGCTATGCTCGGCAAAGTATTCTTATGAAAAGAAGGGAGGAGCACAGCACAAGGAGTTATCAAGCGAGGAAACAAGAAACATGCTCAATTAGGCGCCAACTCAATTGAATCTAGAAATAAAGTGGTGGACATAGGTATATGCTCTTGAGGAGAGTATATGCTCTCCCTTTTTTAACAAAATGTTTATCTCCAAAGGAATTTCTAGACTCTTGAAAAATGGTTGCAATGCAGCCAGGACGTGCAAATCATTTCGATACAATATAAATAAATCAAGGACGCGTACTGCTCGTTCTTGATTCATTTATCTGTTGTATCCTTATCTGTAATTTAGACACCTGTAGCATTAAGGCGTGGTACTTCCCTGATGAAGCGAATGGCTTTCACTACTGCGCTGCCCCGCTATGCCATGGAGCAGTAGTAAAACGGAAAAAAAAAACAATTTTTTGCTTGATTCACTAATTGCTTGGGACCTTTTTGACCGTCCTATCTAAAAGAGTACTTAATAAAAAGGCGGGTCATCCACTTATGTCCTCAAAACATATTATAATGCCAGTCTAGTCCCAAAAATAATCTAGTCATAAAAATGCCGACCCCTCCCACTTTCTGCCCTTGTTGCTGTGTCAGTTGCTTTCGACTGGAATTGGCTTTCGGTCTAAGCTTCCCTTGTAGGATGTCTCATTTCCTCACAGACAGATACGCTCGCATTTTCGGCAGAAAGTCGATTTTTTCTGAACCTATCACATTGGCTTCTTCAGATGACAGTGCCAACAATCAAGCTTTCCTCCGGTAACTCCATGCCCATCCTAGGTCTTGGGACTTGGTTGGTAGGTTTTCCCTTTATAGTGCATAGATAAGTGTTAATAGAATTTGAATTTCCTATACGTTCTTCGTCTTTCCTCCTGTCATATTTGTAAATGCTATTATTCTTCCGTGCTAGTGGAGATCGTTGGAAAAATTGAAACAACGAATTCCACAAAATACGAACGAATTTTATTATCTGTCTTAAAACGACATGAGTGAT